CTGTAAAATAGGGCTTCACTTGGTCATGTTTTACTCTCTAGTCACTCGGAAACTGTTCACCTTGTTAAAGGATGGCTAGAATTGTACAATTTACTTCTCGCATATTCCATTTAGTTGAATCAAATGAATGCAACGCGGTGATTCATTATCACAGGAAGGGTTGGTATTCAAGTCAGAGGTGAATATCAACAAGGTTAGCAGGTTGGTAGAAAAGCAAGCAATTCAAGCTGACCTGTGACAAAATATGTTCTACGTTTGTTTATCAGCTAATCCTATTAAATTTATTCTGGTCGAGGATCCTGAGCAGACCCTTTTTTTTAGCAAAAAAATAGCAATCGCTCTCTTCTAATCAGTTTGGAATGCTAGCTGAGCTCTAATATAGCAGTGAACATGGGAGTCTGTGCGAAAAAGCCCAGAGTGCTGTGTTGTCTATCGAAACGAAAAACGCCAACTGGGTGAACACGCTAGTTTCAAGAAATTTTTTTTAACTCCTTTAGTTTTCAGCATAATTCATTTTGATATTGTTGTCATCAGAAACTGGATAAAATTTGTAAATTACAGTACTGAAAAGTAAGCATACGTATTTTAATTGTAGAAAATAGAAATTCACTGAGCTAATCCAATAAAGGCAAATTTTTTCGAAGCAAGCATTATTTAATTACAACAGAGGATATTATAATATGGATGCAAAGTTCTTTCAAATCAAATCTGACAAGCTAGCCAAAAAGTATGGCGGTAATTGATGGTCGAGTTGGAGGCTAATGAATGAATATTTCTGCCATAACTTTTTTGATAAAAAAATAAGCATTTGACAAGGAGCATTCAGAAATCTAGAAATTTGACGCCCAAGAATCAGTGAATCGTCGTCATTTAAAAGAAGAGGGATTTTGAAATTTATTTGAATTTTGGCAAAGACCTAATCGAGAATGAATCAATTTAGTTTTTCAATCATTTCCGGAAGCGTTAAAAAAACACGCAGACATCCACTGAATAATAATATGTTCCTCAGCTTATTCTGTTCGTCTGCCGACTACATTTTAAGCAGAATACTGATATGCCACATTTCTCTCTCGGATTTGTGAGCAAGTTCACCCGACTCGGGCCTTTTCTGTTTGACTGAAGCCATCAAACACGGGCTGTAACATAGACCGCAGACTGTTCATGGCGCCCTTTAAAAGGCAATGCTTGCGTTGCCTCAAGCTAAAACCCAGAGGATTTTCACTGAAAATGTAGCTAGATTAAGCCTATTGTTCAATTTTAAAAGCTATTTCTTTTCTAATACTCAACACAATTCATAACTCTTGACCCATTTCGCCCGAAAATTCAATTTAATCCCTAAGTGTATGTTGCAGGAATGAAAGCATGTTTCGATTTTACGGCTAACCAAGTAACATCATTCCCCAGTTCCGAACTTTGCAAACAGTAGAACTGCTCGACAATTAAAAAAAAACACAGGCGTGTCAAAAAAAAGTCAATTAGAAAGTAACATTTCATTTGCAGAGATTACGTCGTAAGTCAGTTTACGTTGTGGTCTACAAAATCATTTTTGGTGGACGTCCAGCGATTTAACATAATTTTCAAAAGCATTCAATGTTACCACAAAATACAAGGAAATTGAGAAACTGCACAAGGATTAGTTTCAACAACTGATGGCATGATGTAGGCTATGGTAAGGTCTTTTGGCCAAGCTTCAATTTTCTGTTTGCTACTAACTCAAAAGATGTACATGTATCCTTGGGATAACCAATTTACGGTTAATTTTTTTTTCGCGTCGATGTGAAGGGGTAACCCAAGCACGATACGCGTTCGAGAGTCAAATTCACAAGATTGAACCAAATACCATGTCTACCTACTGAATTTACTTTATCTATCTATGTTAAAGAACCTTTCAATAGGATTTTGTACATTTGTAACTAATTCGCCAAGAACAAATGTAAGGTGCAAAGTTTTTTTCCGGCCTCAGTGCATTTAATTAAGGTCACCAAATAAAATCAGCCTTGCAAATTTACTTGAATGCTTTATTGACATTCAATAGAAGTTACAATGCAATCCTTACAAAATCCAAGTAATTTGTGAAACGCATAAAAGCCTAGTAACCAGAAGCTCCTTTGAAAACAATGGTAGCAGTTGATGTACAGTAATCAAAAATGTGAAAATTCAATGGGATCCACGGCTTCCACCGAATGTGGACATCCCTTCTTTAGGCTTGGTAACAATGAAAAAGCCTCAAAGAGATGCGGAGACGTTACGTAATCGTGCCTAGGAAATCTAGAAGCGAACCTGGATCCAACAAGGATTGTTAGACCTTCACATGATTAAGGCAAGACTTGAAAGGGATATTCGAGGAGGTCTTTAGGCTACGCCGGTAAAAAGCAAATGCGTTTTCATTTACAAGGAGCACAAACCATGATCCATTGAAAATAGATTATGGAAACAAAAGCCATTGGCAACGGCTTTGCGATTGACAAAAGGGTCATTTCATTACGGTTGAGCTCGACTCCGAACAAATAATTATTTACCACGAAGTAAGCGTCGAAATTCACTTCGACCTACTGAATCTTTTCTTTTTCAGTGTTTTATTATAAGTTAGATTCCAACATTTAGGCTGAGAGTATGAAGTACACTGTAAACGGTTCAAATTCAAACTTAATCTCCATAAACAACGCGCAGTGAATTAACTAGTATATGTTAAACTATCACGTTGTTTAAAAAAGAGAAACTTCGTTCTGTACACACATTTTTGTACACTTGGACATGCGAAGGATTCACAGTCTGTCGGTGTTATTTCATTAACTTGTGGTAAGGCCAAATTGTACACAAGTTTACTGCAATATTTTGACCTCTTAAAGCCTTCAGTTACACCTTTACGGCAACCCATCATTTAAAAGCGATAATAACGGTGATTTAACTACTGTGCACGCCTCCCTTACGTACCATTACTAATTAGTACTAAGCGAACCGTCGCAAACTCTACTCATTTCATTTTAATTACCGCCCAATTTTTGACGTAATATTCAAAGGATCCTATCAATCTTAGATGAGACTGGTGACATTTGTTTGTAGCGGCTGTCTTTAAGAGATTCCAGTGATATTCGAGCAATTACCACATCGCCTAAAGTATTTGAGTAGCCACGCATGACACCGCAAATATCGTACCATCGAGTTTAAGGTCTTGTGTGCTCGATGTTTTGCAGACAGCGCTGAAGCACCCCTGACCATTGCCAAAGGATGGACGTCACCTTAAGAAAGCTCTATTTGGGACTGTTATTGATCTTAGAAGCCATTAACAGTGGTTGTGCTCAAGGTAAACAAAGTTGTTTGTTATATCATTTCTTTCTCTAAACCACAGAGAATGGACACAGCGTTTAATTGTCCTTCTTTCTATGCACTCCGCGTGCTTACGTTTATTTTGCATGCCTTAATCCGTTATAAACGGCAACTTCACAGCCATGATATAAAATTAACATTGATCATTAAACTGTCAAGTTATTTTAACTCGTCATTTCAGCGATTTCAGTGATAGCCAGCAACTCCGGAGAGGAAACTGAAAATATAGAAAGAAAATTATACAAACCAGCTCCGTCTACAGCTAGCTAATAGGAACAAAGTGTATATTAGCTGACAGTACTAATAAGCGGGAAGGGACCCTTGAATAAGTTAACACTACAGTACAACGCTACAACCGTTCTAAAATCATCTACGTTCCTCCCCCATGACTGAGACGTGAACTATTGGAAACCCAGGGAACTAATTTCAGTTTGTGGCATTCGGTGCTGCATGGTACAAGTTACTGCAACTTAAGTTATCACTTTTGACTGAAATGTTGTTCAACACTTGATGGTATCACTATTTGTTCCGGTTTCTTTCAACCAGCTTCTTTGAACTTGAAACAGTAACTGTTGGAGTGTGCCAAAAGTCAAAGGGAAAAGTCGGAATGACCAGACGAAGCGTAATGACACGTTTGCGAGGGATGGAATAGCCATTAAGCTGTACTTACTATAAAAGTCACTTTTTTAAAGCATTTTTTTCGACTGAATGAAATTCATTGCTTAAAAATTCTAGGATATTTCAAGACTGTTTGATTGGCCACATTTGTTGCAACAAAACAATATCCACACCAAGATGATTCAGCCATCCAAGAATTCAAACTGGGAACCATCTGCTACGCTTTTCGAGATCCTTAGTGATTTTACTTTAAAGCCGCATTGTCTCGTTCTCATTCTCTCCGGGTTTTCAGCAATACTTTCTTGCTTTTTATTCCAAACCTTCCGTTTCACATCGGCATGAGTGAGTGAGTGAAAACCAATTTGAACCCAAGAAGAAAACAATGTATACTCTTTGTTACTGCTACCTTAACACTAATCTCCTCTATGCTTCAGTTTCTCCTTTAAGTCAATTCTAACATCTTCTACTTTCAATCATAATTAGTCATAGATCATCAACATTTGTAGCTGTTGTTATCATTATATTACTAAACTTATTCACAGTGACTTTCGCGTGATAAGCTGGAAACTTGAAAAAATCACTTGATGCGAATTGTTGGAGTGAGACTCGAGACAATCCCACTGAGTAACCAAATATCACCTAACTTTGACATCGTAATTGTAACTGGATGAGTGTAACCCGTTAATGACAAGTTATAAATGTCAATGTTTATGTACACACGCTTACTGACACTTGTTTCATCTACTGGCCCAGCTTGTTCTCATAATAGTTGTTTAAGCTTTGAAAGTATCAACAATAATGTAAGTTGACACATTTTATATGTCAGCAAACAACTGAGCCTTTATATCATTGTCGAGAGGGTGCAGAAGACCTTATAACTAACACTCATCACTCTTACACGCACGAGAGAGCAAGAATTGGTTATCAGCAATGTTCAAAGAAATTGCTCTCTCACAAGCAGTGAAAACATGTTTACTAAAATACTTTAGGATCACAGATTCATAACTACTAGCTCTAACTATATTGTCTAAGTCTTACTTTTTAAATATCTCTAGGAAACCACGAAAAGGATTACGAACACATGTTGATGCGAGACCTTTTCAGAGACTACAACATGGACTCCCGCCCTGTATTCAACAAAAGCACAGCAGTGAATGTGGAGTTAGACGTGGCTTTTAGCCAGCTTGTCGAGTTGGTAAGAACGTACAAACACTTTGGGTTTGAACCTCTTATAAAAAATACCTCATTAGCTAAATAGGCTCTTTTGCCAGATGGACAAGCACATACATTGTAAAGCCGAAATTATTTAATCATTATTAGCAGAGACTGACCTAGAAATTGGCGACGACAAATACTTTACCCCCAGCTGCTATCTTTGAAAAGTGAACCGGCAGATTGTCAATAGATATTTGCAAAGTGAGCCTTACACAATCATGTTAAACAAATTTATACAACAATGAAAACGATGGAATTCTTTGAAGAAACAATGTCCATTATGTTGTCAACTTTAATCAAAATACCAAGGATAACGATTGTATTGTAGCAGTTGTACATGAGTGCACTATAGACGTATCACAAGTCACTCATTACTAAGAAAGCAGAAAAGATTGCAAAACAACATGCACCTGTTGCTAAATGGCACAAACATCACTTTTAGAAATTTCAGTGAAAGTTGAGGAGATTATAGATACACGAATGGCTCCTGGAACTCTCCGCTACCGTGTTGCAACTAACCCCTCGGTAGCTTACCAATTAGGTGATTTATATTAAGTTTTGTTTCGGGTGATGAAGCGTTCTATTTGTGGTAATTTACAGGAGTGATCCGCAATTGACAAATGATTGTTAATGTTTATATACCTACCATCGCATTTGTTATTAAATCCCTTGCAAGCTATAACACAACGATTTCAAAAGCTTCATGAATTCCATATCTCAAACATCCATCTCTTGAAGAATGATAGAGAGCAAACAATTAAATCGTCACATGTGGAAAAGGAATTTCATTACTTAAGTAATGAGTCCTAAATTTTCTTTAGGAAAGAATGCCGAGTACAAGTTTCCCCAAAGTTGAAAAAAAATTTTCTATGAGGCTCAAAAAATCAGAACACCAAAAATTACCAACATACCCTCTGCAGTTTCAAGCACACAGGTCATATATAAATGCACCAGAAGCAAAGATTGCGTAACGCCTAAGATCGTTGTGAATCACTTGTTCCCAATCAAAAATCTGAAGTACAAAATGTTTCTCTGAACTTTCTCTCATTGAAATATCTGGAAATCAAAGTAAAGAAACTGGATGTAAAATATTCTACCCTAAGCTAAAAAAGTAAGGTCGATGAGACAATCACAAGTGCGGCCAAAATCGCTTAGGAATGATATTTGCTGTATTTATTTCATACAAGGACGGCAAGGATCAAATATTATCAAGCAAGATATGGATTCGCCAGGTAAGCTTCATCCACTTCTTGAAATATCTCGTTAAATATTGTATTTCCTAGGATCCCATGCGAATGAGCTGACTTCATTTTGTTAGTTCGTATGTAGATGATTGTGATGCCCAATTATGTAATGATAACATAGCCATAGAAATTGGGAGTTGGACCCTATTCCTTCTGCCATCAATTGCTTGACTGATAGGTAATTCCCGATGTTTTTTTACTTGATTTTGTTAGAAATGGAATAATCCTTTCCTTGCATGGAAGCCAGACAAATACAATAACATTAGTGTTATCAACGTAGATCCAAAGTTGGTTTGGAAGCCAGATCTCGTCTTATACAACAAGTGAGTACGCAGCCTAATGCCAACTTAATGGCCAGTATGCTTCGTCATTTTACTCTTTTCGACAGAGGTTAAATGACCAGGTTGGTATATTCCTTATACTCAGGGAACATAATCCACGTTGATCAAGAAATCTACGCCAATCTACCTTTCTGACAATTATCACTCCTTTACAGCTTAAAGATTGTGATTAACCAACGTTCATTTACAGGAAGAGAACTTCCAAATCAGAAAATTCTCATATTCTGGTTCCCATTTCCATTTCCATTTTATCTCAGTGCAAATCTATCGAAAGATCAGAGTTTTCACAGGCATTGGGCACTATTCCATAGAACTTATATATTGCTTTAGACAAAAGTTTGCGATCTTGTTTTCCACAGCATTGGTATTGGCCAGACGGGAGCGATATACAACTTTGACACAAAAGTGGTCATATACAGCGACGGAACTCACTATTGGTATGCCCCAACTGAGATCAAAAGCATCTGTAAAATCGACATCACCTACTTTCCATTTGACGAGCAAATATGTCCACTCACCTTTGGTTCCTGGACCTACACAGGAGTTCATTTGAATCTGACGAATAAAGCGCCAACAGCAGATCTGAGCAAGTACACGATCAGCGGCGAATGGGAATTAGTCGCCATGCCATCAAAACGCAACGTTGTTAAGTACAGTTGCTGCCCAGACCCCTATATTGACGTTACGTACAAAGTTCACGTTCGTCGCAAGGTGCTCTTCTACCTGACTAATCTGATCTTACCTTGTGTTGTACTTGCAGTGCTAACAGTGTTTTCGTTTAGTCTGCCACCCGAGTCAGGCGAGAGGATTTCTCTTGTCATAACTATTCTACTGGGTCTTACAGTGTTCATGTTGGTGTTCACAGAGAACGTTCCCCGCACTTCAGAGGTGATTCCGCTGATTGTGAAGTACGCATTCACAGTCATGTGCGAGGTTTCATTCGCCCTGTTAATCACGTGTTTCATCGTTAGGATTTACCACAAAGATCCTGGCAAACCCATGCCGGCATTCTATCGTTATATCACGTACAAGTTGCTAGCACCAGTCCTCAGAATGCAGCCTGTTCCGGCAGGGCATCATGATAGACGACACTGCAAGGAGCATCTCGAGAGGACGAAGCACAGCCACTTTCGTCACCGCAAACCTCGCGCATACATCAGCAAACTGTTCGGCAACTACCCCAAAGAGACCAGCTGTCGATTGGAGTTAGATAAGCATGGGGACGACATCACTGACGTAAGCTCGGGGACTTCGAGGCAGTCAGACCCAATGAAATGTCCTTCGTTAGATAAACTAGAAGACATAACATTTGGTTTGCACGCCATCATCGATCACTTAAAAGACATTAAGGCCAACGAGTTTAACAAGAATGACTGGCATTTCGCAGCAAGAGTGCTGGACACTTTCTTCTTTTGGCTCTTATTAATAGCATTTGTAATATCGACAACTTTGTTTTACTTCTCAATTCCATGATCCTAGTGCTTCGATGCTGGTAATTGAACGTAGTTAGCAAACCACAGTAAATGGTTGCAAACGGATCCATAGATGATTGCGAGCTTCGTAGGGTTCAGTTGATTTGAATAAGTCAGAGTGGTGGATAGATCTTCAAGAATAGGCACTGATATCAGTAAGAACGTGAATAGCCTATAGCCTCAAAGAAAGGGCACTATCGGCAGCGTGGGAAAGTCTGTACACTTTTCCACGTACAAGATCAAAATATCACATCTCAGTGTCATGTGCCATGACTTTTTCACTCTAAGAAGTTGGCGCTGAAAGCTTTGGCGTTAAAACTGTTATCACCTTTCCACCTGAAAATGTTGTGATATTTCAAATGGAAAGTCCTCTCTGGTCACTCCTGGCAGTGAAAGTCTTTAAAGGAGCAATGTTGCTATATTTTGACCTATTTCGTGGCGTTGTGCAAAACTTCTTTTTTTTTCAAGGTAATTACAGAAAGGTATAACAAAAATTGAAGAAATAGAGTTCCAACGGGGCACAAGAATGGCAAAGATTAAAACAGATTGCTCAGAACAAAATTGAAAAATTTAGGCGAAACACAAAATGTGATTTCGCTCCCTTGATAAAACGAGGAAGAGTTAATAATTGAGTGGCATCTTTAGAAGCCATGTGCAGCCTCATAAACACGACTTAGGCTAAACCTTCAAATTTACCACTAGTAGGACAATGTAGATAAGGTACATTGTAATTGAGCGCTTAATGTTGAAAGGCTTAGTATAGTATATAGAAACTAATAATTTGTAAGTTGGTGCCAAGGTCATAATTAGAGAATAGCATTTAAAAAATGTTTATCAGAGACTTTTTAATGCTTGCGAAACAGAAAAATACGTTGTAGAAGGTTGTAGATAGCATATTGAACACATAAGAGCACTTTTCGGTTGAGTTTCCTTGAATCCCAGCTAAAACAGTCTCAACAACCGATCAGAATTTGGGAAAAAATCATAAGGATAAGGAACCAATAAGAACTAAACTTGAAAACAAGGAAACTGCCTGAAGCGCGGGAAAAGGCGAGTGACCAAGTCGCGCTTGGTTTTAGTTTTGTTTCTACTTGGTATTACCAATGCACTCTCGCTGATTATTTTTGACTCACAACTGAAAATTGCTCTATACGTGCGAAATGCATAGAAATTATTCGCGGTTCCTTTACAAAGGATATGTAGCTACGCCAAAAAAACTACTGGTCAGTTCAAACTGACCATTAAACCTGTAAACCATATAAAAATTTTTTTTAATCTTTTGAAAATGATCACAATCGCACATAGTTCGGTGTAATTTTTTTAGTAATTGAGTTGTTAAAAATATTTTGTCGCTCTAAAATACTTGTTCGGAAGGGGTGGCCCATGCTTACCATGTAAATGGACTTGAAAAGAATAAAAAAATAGTGAGTTAAGTATTTACAAGAACTGATAACTTGTATCAGCATCAATTTGTCCCTTTTCCCTTGACCACTACGAAATAGATTACACTGCCGCTCCCCGATGTCACCGGTCAACTTGGTTGGGCGTGGTCGGAATAGCAACTTTGAAGCAAGTTTTTGAGTGAAAACAGTTGCCTTTTATGGAAAGAATTCATTTCTTGCAAGGAGTTTTGATATTGATCGGACAGTGCATCAGTGAAAACACCTGATAATCCATAAGAATGCTATCAAAATGCATTTACATTTGGTCCTTTGTTGGTCTTTCAATAATTCATGAGCTTCCTCGTTAATTTGCACAATCTACATTTCTATAACTACTACGTCCAATTTTCGATAAACTCCAAGGATTCTTTCACATCTAGGAAACATCCATAACCAAAAAGGAGAATCATTTTTAAGGGTGCTAATCTGTTGGTAATATAACTACTGAAAAGAACGCTTGAGGTTTGCAAACATTTACTATTAGCTTTCAAATAAATTTCGTCTTGTTGCATTAAAGTCCTTGACGAATTCTACCATTTTTGATAAAATTTGTTTTATTTACCCTAATTTTTAAGTCCAGCTTTTTTTTCTACCTGTCTTCTCTCACTGGGAAACAAGCATTCCTTTTATTTGCGTTGTTTTGAAGCGCATCAACTTCGGATGCACACATCAAACGAGCATTAACTTCCTATGATATGCTAGCAAATCTTGACACTCCACAACTGTCTTCCGCAAAACACAGGGAAATAATTGCTGTCCCGACCTTTTAAGGGAATGGTAACTCTGACAGCTATTGATACACTACCTTTCTTGAAAAAAATAGATGTTCTGATCAGTAACTATCGCAATTTCCAATGTTATTTTATCCTGAGCTTTTTATTTTCAACAAGTAACACTCGTCACGCGTGTAAAATATTGACCAATTAAATTTGTCTTGATCCTCTGAGGCGAAAACCAATCAGGAAGAGCAATTATATAAACGGACGCGAGGTAACTTAATTGGGGTCGGGATTGTTCTTTGTAGGTAAATATTCGAGCAGTATCTAGCAGTATTGAAGAAAAGGAATTTAATTTTCTTGCCAGAAGGACCTAGATGAGAATAAAAATAGTGAATAGAAAGAAGATGTGATCCCCACTCAAGCATAGCAGTTGACGAGGAAGACGATTCATTAGTATTTTCCTGACAGGTAGGAGTATGAAAAATGGGAAAATAATGATTGGAAATATCGAGAATTTAAATCTGCATTGAACTGACGTACATTTTCGTATGATTTCACCACGGAAGTTGGAGGGTTTTACATGAAGTCAACTGATATATGAATTAAGCTTGAAGGAATATCATCGCTAACGCTTTCTCCCGAGTAAGAGGCTTAAAGTACAAAAGACGAACATGAAAAAAAATATATTCGAAAGCTCCACCGGCACTGCACTGTCAATCGTTCTTTGTTCCGTGAATTAAGCGAAGTTGTCTACATTTTGTGGCAGATCACTGAGTTCTGAATTGAGAATGTTATAGGATTGTTAAGAATACAACTGGTCAGTGTTTTCAGCTAAAGATCAGTAAAGAAACTTTTGGCTAGACTCCAACCTTAAAAACAAGGACGGAGGCCAAACAGCTCTTCGAGCTTTTGCCTGAGTTTCTATGTAATCGTCTATCTGCGAACGCAAAAATAGCAAGTTCATGGTTGAGCAACGCACGTATAGTTGTAAAGCACCGAGGAAGTTCACAGACTCCCAGCCGGGATAACGATCCCTCGTTTCGTGCTCCCCGCGTCAAATAAATTGAAAGAGACATGCCTACTCATAAAGCGAATGTCAACCACCAAGTATATCACATAAACTGATCAACTGCCAAACGACCTTAAGATGGCCAAAAAAATTTGTTCATTAACAAATAACCCAGATGATATTTCATTGGTCACACGTTCACATCTGTTCTACTATTTTAATAATACTATTGCAGTAATTTCAGAGAAACACGACAGTGTTTTGGTATTGCGAATCCTGAAATAATTCACTTAAAACCGGAATATACCTGCAATTGTAGTCTGTAGACTTATTAAATGTCGGTATTTTTTAAAAAAGCGCTCAGTCTTAGCGGATAATTTTTGAGGGAAGGAATACGCGTGGTAAAGAAACGAAACCGTCTCCTGGCTAAAAGTACAGACTACAATAAGCAATTCGGTCCTTGGAAGCCATAACAATGTTTTCACGCCGCTAACTCGAATGCAGAAAAAAAAAACAGAAAAAAAAAATGGAGAATTTCACCCTGAATAAAGTCGCGCTAAGCAGATTTAAATGATTATCAGAATATTTAACTTCCTGTTTAAACTAAATTCTCCACTCAAAGACAAACACCGCTCGGTAAAGTTTATTTTTTCCTTGGAAAGCGTAATTCCCGACAGGTTGCATCTGATTGCAATAAAGTTGTCATGGTAAAATGAAATTCTCATAAAGACTTAAAAGGAATTATTCACATTTAAGCCTTCTAGCGCAAGTTAAAGTAGGAAATGTGGTCTCATCCCGTCGTTTCACTCCCTGACAGTAGACGGAATTACGATGGAAAAATCGAAATAGAGAAAAACACTGATCGAATCTTTGAAAAATATCAAAATCATAGAGTGTAGTTTGCATGACTAATTTATTTCCATTCAGCTTTTTGCATTTTTAATGTTCTTCTAGACAACTCACGATTGGGTGCAAGTTTCAGCAATTCTAACGTCCAATCTAAGCTGTAAACAATAAAAAATCCAGAAAAATTTAAATCTCGTGAGAAAAGACAACCAAAACTGACAATGCCAGGAAATTCACTAGGAGAATTGACTGAAGAAAAATGACTTGGGAAAGACTCGTGACCAAAATTTCGAAAGGACATCTTCCAATAGCAGAAATATCCTTAATATGACTATTTATGACTTACTTAATTTAGACACTCGTACGCTCTGATGCTGCTATCATTTTGACTCAAACACACTTTCATTATCTATGCATTGTAACTTTAATCATAAGTCAAATGAAACGCTTCAAAAAAACTTAAACTTCGCTTCCCTGGTTAGCCTTAATAAAATATAAATTATAAAAAAATAAATTAATAAAACAATTGTGGTCTTAAGCATTTTCTCCGTTTTCTTGAATGGGCTACAAAATTGTTATGTAAAAACAATCCCAAAATCTCATTAGAAATTCTCTTTACTCTCTGTCATATTCTTCTTTTGATGTTAGTTCTCAGAATTTGGTGTTGGATCAACTAATAATCCCCTTATTGATATTTTTCTTCATTCTCATCTCTTGTCCGTTTGATATTGTCGTGATACTTAGAGGAGAAATTCTTTCCTAGTCACTCACGGGAGTTAAAGGGTTAAGAGCCAGGTCCCATGGCCTGCGATAAAAGGCAGTAGAAAAAGGTTTTCCACATAACTGAAATTCTCGGATTGCGCTAATGAAATGGTTTTCCGAGACAACTTACGCGAAATTCAGCTAACTTGCAATGATGTCAGCCAACCTTTACTTGATTGGCAAAGATTCTCGATTTTAAAAATCAGCTGGCAAAACTGACCTGGTCGTTAAGATTTCAAGACCGAGCCCTGGATACAATTAGTTCACAAGTTCTCCTTAATTAGCACTAAGTACCAGCAACGGCTTCCAATTACTTGCATATTTATCAAGTCTTTTCTCAGAGCTATCGCTGATGGCAAAGCCCACCAACAAAAAATACTACTTAGGTAAAATATCAGTTTTTTTGCTATGAAAAGTGCACTGGACCAAATGATTATTAAAAGACATTTAGCTGTTCCAAAGTTTAGCAGATATGAAAGAAAAAAACTTTAATAGTTTTCCACAGGTCTTTCCACAATTCATAGAGAAACATTTTAAAAATTAATATTGTTAAAATAAAACAGTCAACTGCTGACCAGAATTTGGAGAACCTTAAGATTCACTCGACCAGCTTCCCAACTTTCTTTATAAAAGTGTGAAATAATTTAAACGCCAAACGCTGTTCAGCTAAACACATCATCAAGTAAAAATCGAAGAAGCATCCGTTAAATCAAATTTGGAAATAAAATAAAGGGTTGGAAGTTTTTTATGTTGGACAAAAAGATGAAATTAAACCTTCCCTTTGACGTACACGGTCTCTTAGTTCACAAACCACTTCCGTAGGTGACCAGCTAGGATGTAATTAATGGATAATAAAGATTCTTAGTTCAATATGAGAGAATCTATTTTACAAAGGATGCTAATTTCACGATCGTTCGCTAGAACAACAATGGTAGCGGGTTGTCTAGCTAGCGAAACGTCGCATGGGCCTCGTTGACCCTCTTGAAATTGCACCGTTCATGTGTGACTTTACGCATGACCAAGTTTCTGTTCACGTTTCTGTGCTTTTCTATTCGTTGTCCAGATTTTTCAAGTTAAACAGCCGATCGAATTAAGTATTCGACAAAGGAAATTTGAACAAAGTATCGATGCTTTACGAATGTTTATAACTTTGCAAAAAATTGGCATTACGGGAAGTTGTTACAATTGTGGTGAGTTGTCGGTCAACCAGTTCTGTGAAGAGTTACAGCTGATGTCTGTTTCGATCTCTTCAGAATGAATGCTCCACAATTCTGCCAACTTAGTTGACTTCACAGTTCATTTTCAAACAATTATTGTAATTGTCAAATTTATAGAATCACTTTTGCTGATGAATGCGTGAGTGAACAAAACCACAGGATTTATCAAATTACGCAACATTTCAAAACGTCATCTACTAATGCTGAGCGGAAATTGTATCTTTAAACAAAAGAATTTGAACTTTCACTCTTCTGTTTGGTTTCCTTAGATATACGTTGGAGCACAAGCGCGTGAAATAAAACGATGCTCTGTTCATTTGCTGGCAACGTTCACGGGACATGGAGAGCCTTTGTGGTTACTGGAACAATCTTGGGACTTTTAGAAGCTACTACATCACAAGGTAAACATAAAACAAGCAGTAGGTTTTAACTCGTCCACTTCAATTTGTGTTTAGGCATCTTCAAGTTGAATGCACTTTCAGTCCCCAAAATGTTCAGCATCATTGATCCAGGGTCTTGTTCAAATACAGTGCTTAATTTTTTTCATAAAATTGTCATTTTTGTGGTTTCGATTCTATCGATGTTAAGTTAGTGTCAATGTTTTGTTTACAGAATTCAATAACAGATGCTTCTAAGAAAAAAGTACACAACCGACCAATATGTTATTGTAAACATTCTCTTTTCATTCTCATACCCTTACCGATAAGTCTTCCATTTCTCGAAAAAAATTTGAAGATTACTAATGCAGTTGTAAATGAAAACCGCTTTACATAACTTTAAGTCCTACAGAAAACTTAATTATAATAATAAAAGAAAAGTTTTCCTTATCCCAGAAAGGGTGTTAGGATTCTATTTTGACTCCCACGTTCATCTGGTAATCAATGATTGACGTAGATGTGCGCGTCAAAACAACATTTCAAAGCAAAGGTTATCCTTAATATCTTCCAATTTAAATTAATCAGATCACCCAGTTGTAAGCTTATAAACTAATAAGATAAAATGGAAAAACTTTTCCTGCCATATGAAAGGAAGTTCATTCTTGCGTCAGGTCAGTTATCCTTGAAAAAATTCTGGATCCAGACAGGTTAAGAAACAAACTTATAGTTCAAAGTCAGAATGGAACTGTGTCTATTGGTCTGAACAGACTAGCCAGTTTCACAACTCTTTTTTTCGTTCTGTTGCTTTTTTGTTTAACCAAAAGCAAACATTTATAAATACAAAGTTTATAGCAAAATATCTCGTGATAGTACCACTGAACTGCAGCCAAGAAGGCGACAAGAGGCTTTTAATCAACAGAAAGCTATCTCTCTGTAATGCAACGGAAGTGTATTTTTTTCTCTGTTTTTGGATCATGATAACCCTTCACTATTCAGAGGATTGCTGTTACAAACTAAGCTGGAAAATAGCTGTTCGTTATCAGGAGAACAGCGAAAGTTTCCCTCAAAACAAAAATCCATGGTGTTCATGGCCGGTTGAAGTAGAATACAGTGTACATTTGTGTGAAGTGTACATTTGTTGGCTCCTACAAACTAAATAATGATAAGTCTTATACAAACAAGCAATAAACAGAGTAATTGTTTTTATTTTTGGCGATAATGATCAAGCACGGAGGTTAAATATATGAATACGTTCACGAAAAGTACATCAGCATCTACTAAGGAAAACAACTTCGTTCATTTTGCTAATTTTATCTTTTCAATGGTAGGAGGGGGGGGGAAGCAAGTACAAGCGAAGATTGAACGTTAGAGTTTTTTTGCCGTGGGTTTGATTTTTCCAGTCATGGCCTGTTTCTTTCAACCATCATTATTATTATTGTTTATGAACTTTTTATCAGACGAATAGATGAATGGATCAAGACGGTAACTCATCTTGCGATGAATTCGCGCCGGCAGAGTCTTACCACAGCTCGCTGCGAGTAAGACCCCCTCAAGTACTTTGTTCATGATTTGTTGATGTAAGTCATTACGATCAAAACTAACTTGGATTAACATATCGTATGGTACTCCTGAATATCTATTCATATGAGCTCCGTAGGAATTAAAGTACATTTGAGAATATTTTCGTTTACTTTGTTTTGTTGGTGATGGAGGTGAATTTGGACAATAGTGACATTCCACCCTCGGAACAGCTACACTTAACAAATTGCTTTGTACAAAAGGATAAAATCAATTATAGCTTTATAAGCCTTTGAATGTGATGTAAGATGCCTTGAGTGACCACACTCCCTGGAGAGACTTTCAAAATACGGTTTGAGCAATAACACAGGAAGCAAATAGATTCGAGGTCTGTGGAAAGTAACTGAAGAATTTAAGGATTAAGGAGCAAAGTTTGGAGTTTGCATCTTGAGTACAATATAGTAAAAAGTAAAAAAGTATTAGAATCGTTCAAAAACCGGATGGAAACTCACACGAAAAGTATTAAAATTCATTTGATATCAATAACTCATTAGCAAAAGTACACATTGTAAACATCCCACGAACTTGTACTCAACAAAAATGATCTGCGCATACACTGATTGTAAGGTCTGTAGGCAACAAGATTGAATAACGGGTTTTTAATTAGATGTCATTCAATTAATTCTTCTCTTTGGCCCTAAAGAAACCAAACTATATATCCCCGCTGACAAAATATTCCACATTTCATCTCCTGCCGTCAGTGGATTGCAAATTTACATAATTATAAAAGAATGTGAACTGACGCTGTGCGCTATTCAGTTTGATGCATTGGATGTCATTTGAAGCCGAAGATGCAATAAAAAGATGGGATCTTGTTTTCTCGTGGCTCGTTCTACTGCAGGGAAGAATTCTGCTCTCCTTGTGAATCTCCTGGCAATTGTTGGAGTTGTTGCATCACAAGGTAGAATTAATGCACCATTAAGGTTTAAATTTCTTCATTTGTTTCTGTTTTGTTTCCGTGGTTTTGCGGTTCAACAAGATGTTTAACACTATTCAGTCTTCAAATGATGTGTGGGACTACAACATCGATTGCTCCTTTTATCGACGTCTTACGATCATTAATGACTAGTTCACGGTTTAGTTTGGGTAAATGTTTCGTTCAGTCCAAGTAACAGATGTTTTTCGAGCTTGTAATCCATATTTCTTTCTCTTCGTACGGCGTCCTAATCTCTCTCAGTAACTTTTAGTTATTACTCAAGGCATAAGCAAATGGTTATTTCAATATGAGTCTGTAAACAGGTTACATAATTGCGCTGACTTAAAAACTATCATTTCTTTTCACACTACACCTTTTAATTCTGGGCTAGCCTAGCATGGCCTACCCAACAATGACAAAACATGGCTTTTCAACCTTCAGCCCGAGTCACAAAAGATCTAGAGAAATTCCACACAGAAATAGTTTTATGGTGTTCTCATGCTAAACGTTGGCGTTTAGGAACACCTTTAGTCGGCGCGTTTGACTTCTAGATAGTCAATTGTTGTCTCCTTCATGCCACTACAAATTACTCAACTTAAGTCGCTAATTAAATCATCAAAAGGCACATGCTTTTTATCATCCAACGCACATGTTCCCCCTGATTATATAATCATTTGATTAGCGAATTATCCAAGTCTCTTGAGGTATCATTACTTGATGTCATCATACTCAATACGTTGGTTGGTAAACCTGGAATTTCTGCTACGTTATGTTTTCCTGCTAATGCCTAAAGTCACCTCACATTTTACCTCTTGATCCAATATCGAACCTCCTTTTGTAGTTGATAGCATCGGATTAACAAGTCTGCCTAAGGGATATTCAAAAGTAACTAGGTAATCCCAGTGGCGTGGCGACACCAACGGCGCCAGAAGAAAGAACTTGGAAAAAAAAAATGATGGGCCTTCGTGTTTTCGGTCGAAGGTTGAGTTCTGGTTGTTATGTTCACCGCGCTAAGCTAAACGTGCTAAACTAAGTCGTGAAATAACCTCGTACAATTTAAATTTCACAACATCCAGTTGAGTTAATGAAAGACTACCAAGGCAATATAACTTGTAGGATAAAATGGGAATGTGGTAAAAAAGTTGGAAAGAAAAACAGATTTCAAAGTCTCAACTACGATTTCCTCCTGGTATAGTTATTACTGATTCAGGAGTATCTCGATTAAAGATTAAAGATTAGTTTTGACATTCGACCGACAATAATTAAGTTTTTCTTTGGTGTTTTGTTCTGATTTCAATCGGTTCGAGAGCAATGATAACTCCAAAATAGAATAAAACGAAAGTTCGGTATAACTATAGAGATTTCTATCTACTGATAATTGAAAATAGGTTTCATGTAGAAAAACACTACTCCAGACAGTTTAAGTCCACATTCAAGATGCCATACCTTTTTTTCTTTTTTTTTTGCCAACCACCTTTTGTCAGAGATAACGATACCTACCCTTACTCTGATAACATGCTGTATCGAAGCAGACCGCATCTCGATATTAAAAACCCGCATTTAAGCGTCACAAAAAACTGCTCTTTAGTAGAAGACTTTGAAACAATACGCGCAGACCAAAATTAAACAGTTAAGAATAATCAACAAGAGGATAAAATTTGTCAGTGATGGCGAAGGCTGACACGAATTTCATATGAAAACTTGGAAAAGTCGACAAAAAGTGTACCGTATAAGAACAAGGAAAATGAAAACAGATGAGAGCAGTCCGTAAAGGAAGGTAAATTACAAGAACTGAAAAGAATGGTTTCGACGGGGTTCATCATTTGCAATCTGTGTCTACATTCTCCATCGTTAACGATCCTCGTTGCCATTTTGAAAATTCTTACATCTTTGGAGTTGCTTTATAACAGCAAACAATAATGTCAAAGTTTTTTTTCTCCCTAAGGGGAGGCTATAATCGTTTTCTCTCAATTGAGGGGTTTTTGTTCTCAATAACTAATATTGCTTTTCTTAAATTGCAACTTTGCTAAGACGTAAAAGCCACAAGTACTTACAGAGAACGAGTGAACAGTGCTTCCTTGATCAGCGCAGTAAGACAGGCCTATACTTTGTACACTTTCAAAGCACAGAAAAAAAACATGAAACTAAACTTATTTTGAAGTGTGTAAGAAATAACGTACAGGAGAGAAAATGACCTTCACAGGTTCTCTGCACTCACAGTTATTGCAGAAAAAGTCTGACAGAGTCTTTAGTTTCTTACATTATATCTGTAATCATTTACAGATTTCTTAGCAGGAAACAACGAACACGCCGTAATTTCCCTCACTCGCAACACGTGGCTTCCTAACTCAGTGGATTGCAAAGTAGCATTCACCTAGAATCTGAAAGGCAAGGGTTCAGCCCCCGTTGAAGCCCGAATTACTTCAGACTTCATTTAAAGTAATGACTTTAATTGCGGTTTACTTGCGAATTTTCAAGTACCACATCAAAACATACGTGTACCTTTTTCAAACATAATGACAGCCGCAATGGTGTTGCTCATTATCATGATCTATCATGATTCCTCCTTTGTTTGTATGTATGCAGGCTACTTCAAGGATGACCACGAACATAAGCTGATCAATTCTTTGTTCAAGAGTAATTACAGCAAAGAAGCTTTACCTGTAGTCAACAAATCAGAAGCAGTTCAGGTTACGTTTGACCTGGCATACAGTCAACTTATATATCTGGTAAGAGAATGGGTTGTAGTGGTAACTGCTTCACTAAAAAAAAAATACTGAACATTACTATATAAGTAAAGGCAGATGTAAATGCAATTTACCTAATTTTTAACCCTTAAACCTCTAAGAGTACAGTGACCAGCATCTAATTTCTCCTTACAATATCACAACTGAATCACACATCAATGTCATGAGAATAAAGGAAATGATCACCAACTAAAGAAACTCTTGATTGTTAGACAAATTCTCCTTGTCAGCACATCAGTAAATGTACAGATAACAGTATGGAGAATATGAATACTGATGTTAGGGTGTAAAGGGTTAAAGGATTAGTTTTGAGAATATGCACACTGGTGTTAGGGTGCAAAGGGATAAGGAGAAAAGTGTGGCATGTGCAAAAAAACTGAGAATCCACGATATCTTAACTGAGTTTATTTGAACAAAACAACAGTTTTTGTTTCAATTGTCTGTTTTTTCTGATTTTCCTGCTGAGATTTGTCACAAAAGTACCCTTCTTTTACATCAATTCTTGCTATACTTTGAAATCTTTCACTAGCTCTGTTAGATAGTCATGTTGAAACACACACCAACAAAAAATAAAAATAATTTTGTACCAGGTCTTTTTTTCCTCTACCCTGGCTAAATCCTGTATTGTTTAGGACCATAATTTGCATTCAGTAGATTATGAAAACCAATGAGCTTGGTTCTGTTTTTCTTTTGATTATAGGACAGCAAAAATCAAATACTCTCCAGCAAAGTGTGGTTACGACAGGTAAAGTAAAAAAATTTCACCAAAACTTAAACTTTTAGTAAATTTTTGGAACCAGGCTGTAAAAGCTACAGGTCAAAAAACCCTCAGCAGGAATATTACCCACAATAAAAATTAAAATTAAATATAAGCATTTTTTCAGAAGCTTCCCCAGTAACTTCTCCATACTTACCCATTAGCAATTAATTTAATTTGGACCTTTCTGTAACATTAAATAATGAGCATTGAGCATTGCCATTTGTCTTGAATGGAATACTTACTCATCCTTGGAGGAGTTGAAATACCACTGGTCCTTTTATGTAACAGAAACTGGGATATCAAACTCCAGCTGGATGGGCCATGTAGCTTGAGAGTGGACTTAACCTTAACTTCCAAACCTAAAAGTCCACCATAATTCAAAAAAGGGAATTAATGATCTGCACATAATGTTACATATTCATGCAAACATCACCCACACCAGTTATTTCTTCACAGATGTGGACAAACCCATTCCTCAGATGGGACCCTGAGAAGCATGGTGGAATAGAATATATAAATGTTGATCCAAAATTAATATGGAAACCAGACATCATTCTATATAATAAGTAAGTAAAAATGTTTAAGGAAACATAGAATGAAAATGAGATAGAGGAAATTGAAAAGCTTTAGTTATTGGCAGATCTAGATTATGGGAATGTGCTTGAAGTTTAGACAATTTTAACCCTTTCCTCCCTAACATCAGTATGTATATTCTCCATACAACTCCCTAAACATTTCCTAAGGCTCTGACAAGGAGAATTTGCTCAACAATCAAGAGCTTTTAACCCTTTCCTCCCTAACATCAGTATGTATATTCTCTATACAACTCCCTAAACATTTCCTAAGGTTCTGACAAGGAGAATTTTCTCAACAATCAAGAGCTTCTTTAGTTGGCGATGATCTTCTCTGTTCTCATGACCTTATAACCTTAATGTTTGATTCAAGGATGATATTATGAGGAGAAATTAGATGCTGGTCACTCTTAGGGATTAAAAGGTTAAGGAGTGCACTTTTGTTAACCTTTTCTGTTCCAAGATCTCATCAGCAATATTCTCCTTACTGTCTGCCATACAACTATGCCCATGTTAATCTATAGAGTTTGCTGTTGCATTAACTTATAATTTCCTTATGGATATCCTTCTTTATTCCCATCTCCTGCCTGCTTGATATTGCACTAATACTGTGAGGAGAGTTTCTTTCTTGGTCACTCATGGTAGTTAACCCTTTCACTCCTAAGATCTTATTGGTAATTTTCCTTATTGACTGCTGTAAAATTCTCATGATTTTAGCTCTGAGAATTTGTTACTGGATCAACCGATAATCCCCTAGATGATATTTCTTTTTATTCTTGTCATTTTTCTGCTTGAGATTATATAGATATTCTAGAGAGAAATTCTGTCTTGGTCACTCATGAGAGTTTAAAGGTTAAAGGATTAGGCTATTGGGTTGTATACATGTAAATGGCTTTTCATTTACAGAATAATGTAAAAAATTTACTGGGTAACTCATTCATGAATTTCTGCGATATTCCGATGCATTCTAAAAATAATTAAATGCATACTTTTCTCCTCTTACAGCATTGGCTTTGGTGAAACAGGTGCAATATATAATTTTGACACAAAAGCAACCCTGAAGTACGATGGATACACACAATGGTATGCTCCAACAGAGATTCACAGCATCTGCAAAATTGACATCGGCTATTTCCCCTTTGACCATCAGAAATGTAAACTTAAATTTGGTTCCTGGACTTACACAGGTAATTTTAAAGGAAAGAAGTCCATCTTTTTGGGGATCTAAGGTCATGTAATAGTCTCCAGTAATAAAATTTTAGCCATCAGAAAAAAGAGAATAGAAAAGAGAAAGGTAAATTTAGCAATAAATTAAAATATCATCTTGAAGAAATGTTTATCAAATAGTAACTTTGCCCCACTAACACTATGTAGTAAAATATTATAGCTTCCTGCATGATCGCTGAATGCAGGTCGCCAAATTGGCAAGTTTTCCTTTAAACTTTTTGCCAAAACTTTTTATCCATGGAAATCAAAATGATAAGAACACAGCTTAAGCGCTGTGAGATAAATAATGTTTTCGGAAGAAACAAGGTTAAAATAGTCACGCAATCACTTCACGGGGTCTCTTATCAGTGGGCTGTTACTTATTTAATCCAACCAAGACATGAGTTTAGCTTCTGTGGTTATTGATGCAATTGTTTTGGTCTCATTCTTCCCAGAATATTGAAGAATTTCCACGCTTGACTTCCCTAAAAATTATACCCATTAACTTATCACCCTGCAGTATTAGTACTGGATACTGTTGAACACCCTACTACAAATTCACTGACTTGTGAGACTGATTCTAATAGATGCTTGAACATCCTACCGCCAGTTTATCGACGTTAACCTGTTCTTACTTTGAAGACATACCTTTTGGAAAAGCACGTCACCCGTCATCGACGGTTTTTAAACACCATTTTAAAGACTCATCTCGATTTTTGAGTTGGCACGTTTTAAAGGGGCTCCCTTCATCGCTCATTCACTCAGGCTTGGAGAAAAACCTCGCCACCATCTTGGCTTCGTGTCCTCTAAGTAGCAATACGCACTGTTTCCGATAGAAATAAACGTGACCATTACAGAAACATTTCAAGTTCATGCCCCTTTCACATATAAAGGCTTAAGAATAGATTGTTCCTATTTTTCGTCGCCAAATTAAAGTTGATAATTTCAAAAATTTCAGCTCTAATGTTTTCCAATTTAGCGCGAGTGAAGAGTTCGATTCCAGTCTCTACTCTTCTGAGCTGGGAACTCACACACAAAACAGCTCCAAGTAACTTTATCTTGACTAATATTATTAATTATTTCACACTTCTGCAGATAATAAACTCAATCTTTCTGCTTCGGCCAACAAAGTCACTGCAGACCTCTCCAAGTACACGGTCAGTGGCGAGTGGGAGCTAGTTGAAGCACCTCTAAAGAGGAATGCCGTCAAGTATACTTGTTGTAAACATCCCTACATCGACATAACATACACGATACACGTCAAGAGAAGAGTTCTCTTCTACATGATGAATCTGATTGTCCCGTACATCGTACTTGCTGTCTTGACAGTTTTCTCCTTCTACCTACCACCAGAGTCTGGAGAACGAATGGGTCTGGTAATTACAATCCTACTAGGTCTGACCGTGTTCATGATGGTATTCACCGACAATGTGCCACGCACCTCGGAAGTAACCCCGCTGATCGGTAAATACTCGGTCACAGTCCTTGTTCAGGTCACTTTTGCGCTGCTAGTCACGTGCGGTGTTCTGAGAATTTATCACAAAGATCCCGAAAGGAAGATGCCTGCCTGGTTCCGCAAGCTGATCTTTGACATCTTGGGGCCAATGCTGCTAGCCACACCTTCTGGTGAACGAAAAAAGTTGAAACAAGAAGACAAGAACAGGAGCTACTACATGTCGAAAGTACAGGGAAATCCCTACGAGATCCATCGTAGCCAGAACCATCTTGTTGTGTCAATTCCAAAGATCACAGGCATAAAGGATGGCGAGGGGGAAACCGAGCGCAAATGTTTTCACACCTCACCCATGGGATCCAATCTGTCGCTGACGCCCTCGGATGAGCGTATGGAAGAGATTGTGTACGGCATGCGCGCCATTGTATCTCATCTGAAAGACACTCAAGAGTCTGACGCAAAAGTCAATGACTGGCATCACGCAGCCGCAGTTCTAGACATTGCGTTTTTCTGGATAACGGCTATCACCATCTTAGGCTCGACCCTGGCCTTTTACTTTATGATTCCAAACTGACGGTATGAAGTACATTGTGAAATCGCGAAAGGAGAACTGCACCTTTTTGACATATAATGTTCCACATAAAAGAAACAGCTGAACGTCAAATAGAAATCAGGGATACTGGAACAATAATCAACAGGGGAGGGGAGGGAGGAAGCAGATCCCGGTTAGGCCTGTCCTGATTTTTTTAGCAACTTTTGAGCAACTTTTTACGTTTCTAGCAACTTCGAGTACAAAATACAAGTTTAGAGCATATATCAAGCGTGAAAAAAAAATCAATGATTTATATAAAAGTATCAAGAAATTTAGGAAGCAACTTTTTAAATTTAGGAAGCAAACTTTTTGGAATTTTTAGCAGTTTTTAGCACTCTTTCGGAATTCCAGTGAGCAACTTCTCAATATTTCACGAGCACAATCGGGACAGGCGTGGTGCCGGTGGCAGGGGTTTCTATGAAGGTCTAGTAACCGGAGCGAAAAGATTACCCCTAGACCCTAAGGTTTGGTCGTCCCTGGAAAACTACGTGTACCTAATCCTTCAGTAGTTAAAACAATTGTTAAATGCTAGTGAATTTTCATTTACGCGTAACTACCCTTTATGAGGAAAGTTAAGGAGTTATTTCCACCAGAAATGACGAATTTTTTGGGTAAGTACTTCTTCAAAAGGATGAAAACTGATGGGCGCATAAGTTAGGGTTGAAGTTTGAACGTTTCTCTTGTGAGAGTTATTTTATATAAAAAAAAAAAAAATTTTAGGGCTGCTTATTCTCGAAGTTGGCTCGTAAACTTTTGTTCCTTGTGTCTGGTGCATCATAGCTATATCGAGTATCTATCTTTTAAGGCAAGTTTGGCAAATGGATTTTGGAGGTTATCAGAATTCCTTGTTTTGTGGAAATCACAATAATAAGGGTTTTTTGATAGTAATGCATTGCCTAATTTACCTGAGAGATTCAATCAGTTAATGTATTTAAATTTGTAGATTTTCTCCATTAGGGTTCTTCCTTAAGAAACAAAGGGCGAGTGTTACACACTGTTAGGGAACCAAAAAGGGTTCCAAACTAAGATATCTATTTTGGATTTATTAGAATGGGAATTTATCCCGATATTTGATAGTTCTTTCTGTTTTTATCTCCAAAATTAGGGCCTCTCGAGGAGGGGGCGGGGGGGGGGGGGGAAAGGGGGTGCTTGTGTTTTGGAGTGCTATGGTTTTTATACTCGAGTGGGAGGGAAAATGAAAAGCATCGTCTTAACATAAAAAATACACCAAAGTGCTCCTGCTCCCGCAAATTGTTTGAAAAAAGCCCTTTCTCTCCAAACCCTGAGACGCCCTGACAAAGGAGATGAAAATTGAGTGAGTATATTTTGTCTTGTAAAGTTTGACTAATAAAGTTGACATAATAAATATTCCAACGAGTTATATTTATGTGCAGGATTCAATAAACTGATAAGAATAAGTAGAGTTAAGTGAGAGAGAAAAAGAGAGAAAGAAAGGAGACTGAGAAGAAATGAATTCAAAAGTTGAAAAGTGGTCTGAGGTTAAAATGGGACACGCAACACCGACTACTTACAGCTCCCTCAGAGAAACTCTCAAGTATCAACAGCGTTAGAGAAAATGACAGCCATGAAAGAACAGATCTTGGATAGCTTGTTTTAAGTACGGGCGGTCATAAATCACCATTTAACCCGCGTTTCTATTTTTCGCCATACCTTCACCTCTTTGGTAACTGACACGGAAAGGCTTTATTCCATTGAAAGGCATTTCTCTATAACGCAATTTCTCAGTCCCAGGGATTTATTCCTTCCGCCCTCTCTCGTTTCAGGGTTGGGGGGGGGGCGAGGCGAGAGGAAGAGGGCAGATATGCGGAACAGGTGTTTTTGACGCTCAGAGTGATGCAAAGCAGTTCTTCTAGATGCGAAAATACTGCTAACTAAATCGTACTTAGACAGAGATTAAAGATACATACCATTTGTACCATTCGAATTGGATGTGGGACCTTTCTCAGGCCTCATTAACGCAGTTACGCCACATAACTCTAACGAGGCAAATTTGGGTTGAGCAGTATTCATTACCAAAAATTCCGATTCGTTTTACGTCTCGAATACAACACCTTATCAAATGGAACTTTAAAAATGGCTCCCGAGAAGTATGAGATCGAAAACAAGATCTCAACTTTTGTCAGTTTAAATAAATCAAATTCCACGTGCCGATCTTTTGCTGATAAACAATATGTAACTGCACCTCGAAGCGAAGGTTTTTCTAACGTTTCTGGTTAATTATTCGAGTCACCCAGTAGCGCTCAAAATAACAAAATTGAAAACGGAGACTTAAAAACGCTCTTAGAAGTTTGGAATATTTATTAACGCCGGCTCTGCGTCTTAATGCAAATACAAAACGTTTTGAAATAGGGGGTTGGAATAAATTTTTCCATAAGCAGCTGCCGAAAAGGGCCCGTTACTTTCTGGCAGTTTTAACAGACGGCAGTAAGGAGTCATACATAAGCGGTGGTAGAACGCTCGTAGCCGTGGCTTTTATTGACACCCTTTTAAAAGATTGCTCATCAACGAAACTGCTATTTGAAATATTTTAGCCGGCAATTCGCCCTTCCAGATTGCCATCAAGCTTAGCTTTCTTACCGCTCTTGATCCGGTTGTAGTGTGACAGAAAGACACTCTAGAACTATCTGTTTACCATTGCAGACATTTTTTTCTTTTTTCTAAATGAATAACAACGCCGTTCCTAAGTTCTTTGACGTAGAGAGGCCGTAAAAGAAGAGTCAAAAGGAAGTCATGGAAAACTTATAAAGCAAGTGACGTCAGCAGCTTCTTTGTCATGTCGATTTGAATTCTGGTCGATTCATCTTGTTAATTTAGGGTCCCTCTACTTGCTGAGTATAACTTTAAACTTTGAGCAACACGTCAAGGAAGTTCATTGTTCGTGCCTTTTGATTAAACGCACCTGGATTATTTGATTATTCTTTGGTGTTTCGGCTGTCAAATTTTTGTCTTGATTATTATTATCATTGTGATTACGCCTGAGGGAAGTAAGACCACAAAGGAGTTTCTTTAACGTAATTGTTTGTGAGACAGCGAGCCAAACAAAAGAATGCCAGACTAGGTTGTTGAGAAGCTTATTGGCTGAAGGCTGATTTCGACCTGCTGTTACGGCGGTTTAAGAGAACAATCAGTTGAATTTTAAGGTATTTTGTTGCCAAATGGTGGTTAGTGTGTGTTTGTGTAAAACTGACGTTTGGAATTTCTGTCTCTGCTATACCAGCCATGATATATCGTAAAATGCTATTCTTTTTCGCCATAACATCTTCAATCCATGCAACATGTCGAGGTAAGTATAGATTGACCGAAATTTCTTCACCAGGAATGTTTTTCTGACGTGAAGCCTGTTAACCGTTTGATGCTAGTTAATTAGAGATTGTTTTGAACTTCCACAATGACTGGTTGAAGAGATTGTGGCTACTCTAAATCCAGTTAAGGGTATTGCTGAGTTACACGACCCACCTTAAAACTTCCTGTTACTTAGAAATATATTTTGTCTCGATCAGCAAGTAATGTTTCCACTCAGTTCGACAAGTTGAATTTGCAAGGCCATTCCGCTACAGTTTGCTTTAGTACATTATTTTGACTACATACTACAAAAAATACTAATTATCTAGCGGTTATTACAAGCTGTTGCGTAATCAAACGCACTGCGAAATTAATAGGCCATAAAATAACTTGTAGTACGACATAGTTAATCTGAATCATACAGCAGTGCTATCAGAAATGCGTAAAGTTAGATTCTCGTGATTTGCTTTTTGTCATACACCTTTGAATAATGTTTATCTTTCGTATCCAGTCAAATTTTGATCACACCATTTGAAGTTTGTCGTATTTTGTCAACATGGCCCCGTAAAGCTGTTCAGTTGCTATTATTTTACACGCAAATGTGTATCTTAACTTTGCCTTACACGAAATTAACTTTAAACGCCAAGAGTGGGTCAGTTGCGAAGCTGATAAACATATCGTTTACAATGAACTGTTCGTTTGGGCAAAATTCATAGCTAGTAAAGAAATGAACTGTCACATTGTATTGTTACAGTTATGCTATGGTGTTTTGTAGTCCAAGGTTCTTTTTTTTTTTTTTATCAAGCTAGCAGCTTTTCCTTATCGGCCGGACTGCATTAAGCAAACGCCAAATCTGATTGACAATTCCACATACCACAATAATGATGAGTCTTGACTTTAAATTCAAGCTTACAAGTCTATGTAAAAGTACAAGTCTTCTGATCTGGAAAGCTCTCAACAAATTTCAGTAAATGAAATAAAAATACACTAATGTTTTTAGAGTATCAGTGTTCAGCTCTCTGAGCAGAATGTTTTTCATGTATCAGTGTTCAGCTCTCTGTTTCCCCTGTCAGTTGCAACTTTCAAACAACTAAGACCTGTCCTGTATGACATTTGTTTTCGTGGCTCAGCCAGGATTGTGAAAATCAAGCCATAAAATAACATACGCCTTACCCGTTGTCTCCAAATTATTTTCTGATAGAGTTAAACATAAACGCACTAAGGGCCGAACATAAACAACTGATAATAAAAGCTGATCTCAAAAGGCCATTTTTATAACGGCATGCAAATCACATTTTATATCCTTCATTAGAATTTTTTTAACCTTTCAGTTCCTTTTAAATCCAGACTCGCTTATTTCGTATACCTTTGAAAAGCGTGTTTTAACAATAGCCCTCTCATTTATATCGACGTGAGCTCTTACGACTCAAACCTCAAATAATCCTGTACCGAGCTGTTCATAAGAAGGTTGCCCAATTTCGTTTGTTTTCCAGCATTTCAAAAATAAGTTTTAAGTAAAATAACAGAAATCGATATTTGCTCCTCTATGCAGGCCAATATGAAGTTTCACAACTCGTCACAGGTAGCTCCAATAATCATTGCTTCCCTGTACGTGTTAAAAATGAACACCAAAGAATTAACTGAAGTAGTTAGCCGTGTCGTAACTATTTGAAATCTTTGTGGTTCATTCGGGAAAG